ACTTTGGAGATACAAGTCGGAACACAAGCCAACGAAGGATTCTCCGGAAGTTTTCCAAAACCTAGTTTATGATGACAGAGGACAGAGACACTTAGCGCCCCCATTTGCAAAGAGGAACTTTGTGCTTCAAGTTGTCTAAGCACTTCCCGGAGTTTGCCACGCAAGTCGGAAAGTCTTTGGCTTCAGCAAACTGAGCTCCCGACAACGAATCATTGCTGCGCTTACAAACGTAGCCCAACTTGGGTTGCTTGGGACTTCCGCGACCTGTGAACCGATACAAATACGTTTCAGCCCTAGTACACCAAATCTGTAAAAGCTGCTGGATGTCACTTGAGTCACAAGCGGATTTCCACTGGCTTTCCTGGATACACAAAACCTGACGCTCAAGCTCCTCAGCAGAGAGATGAGTTCCCGGGCCAAAACCTTCCGAGTAGGAATCTCCGGGGGAACTGAATCCAACACGCCTGCCGGAAGTGATTAAAAGGAAAGTCAGCAAAGACTGGTCTATGAGTAGGAAACAGCACCTCCAAGAATACATCCCCTTGGGCCTCTCGGTTCAGAAAGAAGAAGTCCAAACGATTGTCAGACGCAATGCAAGTGCCTGCCGGTTCAAATCCGGTGTGCACTCCAGCGGAGTACATCAAAATAAGACCCAGAACACAAGGCAGCACGCAACACTTCACTGTCCTCAGGATCAAAATTCGAATCACCTCTTATCACCGCTGGGACGGGGCCAAGTTCAGCAAGCGTTGCGAAAACAGCCTGAAGAAGTTTCTCGCTTTGAGCAAGGATGGCATTCGAACTTGAAGAACCACTGAAACCGTACACAGTCATGACATAAATCACCTCTTGGCAATGACCAAGGCCAATGGCAACAAGAAAAAGTCTACCCTGCTTTTCGTACTCCAACGCTGCCCCGGACAGCTTGCACTTGGAAGCAGGCCGATTGACATCGACCAAACAAGCAACACCGCCCTTAGCAGCCGCCCATTGAGAGTTTTTGAAGCCCTGCCGTTTCAACTCAGCACATGCACTACCCCAAATGGGATTCCAACCGGCTTTACGAAGATCACCTAATAAGGCTTTTCGACCGCCTAAAGTGAGTTTAACTTCACTGCACAAAACAACCTCACAATGTTTTTGCAATGCAACCACATTGTGAAGTTGAGTCTGAAGCGCCTCCACAATCACTGAAATCCACCTTTCACAAGGTGGTTGCTTTCGGGCCACAACAGGCCCAGCCATCAGAGCCACACCCCAGTTTGTTCGATCTGGATGTCCTTGTGGCCTGGCAAGTGATTTATTTGAGCAAGAGTGGCACGCCAGATTTCCGCGCGCTGTTTTTCAAGAGGTGTCCAAGCTGGAGCTGCTTTACAACACCCATGAGTCGAAACAAATCTCACGATTGCCTATCTAGAGAAGCGTCTTTTTGGACTTTTGCTCCACATGCAAAAGGTTTCGCATATTGATTGTCATGCCTGAAGACGATGTAAACTCGTGTATGTTGAGATACTGCTCGTAACCGTGTCTGAACCTGTTCTTTTGATTGTGTATCATGGGCGTGCGCGCGATTTACGGTGTCCGAAGATCTTGTCTCAAGGTGGTCGAACAAGAAGTTACCAATGAAGACAATTATGGACAAAGGACAATCCCGTACCATGCCTCAGGAGGGCTTAAACTCTTTAGAATGGCGACCTTCAAGGGTAAAACGCTTGTGACATGGTTATATGATAGAATGTACGCATCGTTTGGACCGTTGGCGTCAGAGCCGCGAGCCCAAAAAACATCCAAAGCAAGGTTAAAGGGAATTGTGTGATCGAAAGACAGACCAGCGACATTGTGACATAATCTTCTTTGCCGGTCGCCGAAAAAAGGCTAACTGATCTGCTCCTCTGTGCTCCGCTAGCCGGGCATGTCGGGAATATATCGAAGGCAATATTATAATGGGTCTGAATTCTGCAGAGGGTGGTTGGTGATTTTCGGGGTCATTTGGGATGAATGCAGCTCCTCCTTTTGTGAGAACCTTCGGCCACATATGACGATGACAGGTTTCAGGTCTTTGAAATAGAGAGACCAATGCTTTAAGTAACGCTGGACACCAAAGGAAGGCAACCTTCAGGTCCGAAACCAGTTCAAGTTCAGGAGCCCTGTTCTTCATGGTGGACAGAGATTTAATGACCAGAGCTGTATCGAGAGGAGGATGTTTCCGGAGGTGTTTGCTTGCCAAAAGTGCGTCGTCGTGGGCCAGCCACTGGAGTGGCATTTCCACGTGCATTGTGGCTTGTCGGAGTTTCACGAATGGAGCTTGTAAAATGATCGAGTTCGGTGACCCATGTTGGTGGGTCAGGTTTGGTAGCGGTCGGGTGGCAAGTTGTTCGAGCTAAATTGTTATGTCAGTGCGACCAAGGCCAGGACTTTCCACACTTAGAACACCAGATTTGTCCGTAATCTGGTTTACTTTCCACTTTCCCAAGTTTTCTGTTCCAAGTGAGTTGATGAGCACCGGCATTATACTTTTCATGGAGTTGCTTTTCGGCAAAACCGAGGTCATTTACCGATTTTCAACATTCCAGGGACAGTTAACCAGTGGGAGGAGTCGAGATCAGGAAATTTGCAAGGCTTATTTGAGCCCGGCATGTTTTTGGATCTTGGTTTGCATACCACATCGAACACAAAAGACACCGCAACGTTCTGCTTGCTAGACGCTTTTTCGGAATTGGGCACTGGATTGCCAGGGACAACAGTGTGATCATCTTCTTTGTTGTCAGTTCCATACCACTGGCGCAGATGGGCCTGCCATACGTTGATGAGTGAATTTTGGATGATATGCGACGTATGCTGCGAATAAAAACCAGTCAGCGCACAGGTGACCTTGGTATCGGCGCCTCTAAAATTGAACAGCTGTAAAATCAACTCAAGAGGAATGCTGTCAAAACATTTGCGCATATCGTAGGAGACTCCTGCTGCATACTGACCATTTTGCATGGCTGACGCCATGCCCAAGCACGTGGAATACGCTAACGCATCTGCTGCGGATGCCTGCTCTAATCCTGCTTCCAGTGTGGAACCCAGTCCTCACAACTGATCATGGCGCGTTGCCGCCCAAACCCGATATATTGATGATAAAATGGTCAGGGGACAATAATCTGGAGGAGAGGGACATCTGAGGGAAAGCATAGGATCCCAGAAGTAGCTGGGGCTTGCAAGAGCGTACCTGGCACGCCGCCAGGACCCTCTGTTTGCACCAGCTTCAACCCACACCTGTGCGGGGTGGCATGTCCGAAGAAGAACCAGCACCACCCAGGGATGAGGTTGGGATCTCTTGTCATGCATTTTGCTTTCCATAAAGTTGATGTCGCGTAACTGGATTGGATGAGAGCGCAGGTTCGAAAAAAGAAGAGTCAGGAAGTAACATCTTGTGTGGATTAGCACGATGTGCGGTCACCCACGGTGGCGGATCAGGAGGGTCTCAGAACCTTACACTTAGTCCGCGGCAAGTTATTGTGTCTGTACATCCAAGCCCATTCTCTGCCGCAAACCTCACACCAAAGTTTGCCGAAATCCTCTTCTTGAGTTCTTGCTTGCCACACTTTTGGTTCCAAATCAGCTTGTGTCCGCCTTTATTATGTACTTTTTGGAGCTCTTGCCATGCTTGGGTTCAGCGAATGGTGTTACCCATTGCTCCTGGAGTTTGCAACCATTGATCAGGCGGCAAGTCAGGGTTTTTACAAGGCTTCGAAAGGGTCTTTAAACGCTGATGCTTTAAGAGTTTTGTGGATTTGCCGCACTTTTGACAAAACACTCCCCCATCTTCAATAATTTTTCTCTTAAAGTCTGCACCACCTGTGGGTCTGCCCCTCGGGTGAGGAATACATCAAGTGCCAAATTATACGGAATTGTGTCGAAACACTCCTGGAGGTCGAACGATATGCCTGCTGCGTGTAAGCCGTCGCATTGCGCAGCTTCCAACTGAACGCACGTGCGATAGGCCAGTTGGTCTGCTGAAGGTGCTCCAGCACCGCCACAAGAATTATGATGTTTCCATGATGGAAACCACTTTTTGGACATTTGTGAGTGGCGGGCTGCCGCCCATATGCGATAAGCACAACTTAAAATGGTTATGGGTATAAGTTCCTCAGGCTTAGGAAAATCATTGTCAGGGTCTTTTGGTATGAAGACCACTGCTCCTGTGGTCAACACCTTGGGCCACCTCTGACATGCTTCAATGGTTTGAAAGCATAGGATCCCAGAAACTGTGCCTTGTCGAGGGCAAAGGCACCACAGCAGCCCTACCCGAGTGCGGAGAAATATTCAATCCATATCATCAATATACGCAAAAGGGAAGCACTATCAAAGGGGAACACTGAACACACTATCATGACCAGATAAACCAACTTCGAGGTCATCAGGGTTGACAAGGTCTGAAGATGACTTTGACGAAGAGGCAGTGTACAGTATATTGCGGAAGGTCTAGATTTGGTTGGTGTTCGGTATCTCGCAACATCCCTGGTCATGCCTAAGTCTGATTCAAACGTTACGGGATTAGCCACACTGTGGGTGCAGAGTCGGCATGGGAGGGATTACGTATTCGTGTCGACCACGACATACTATTGTACTATGATTCCCTCATTAATAGCTGCACATAGCTGCACCATATTCTTTGCCGATGCATCTGTTCGACTTCAGTTGAGGGCCCTTGTTATATGAGCTTTCAAGCTCTTCCTCCAACTGATCTAGCGATGTGAACTGCAATTAAAACCAGGGGTACTGAGCCATTCGGATTCGGGCTTGGATGCATCAGGACACGGCTTGCGGGTTATGTTTTAAGCCTGGTCTGCTTCCTGCACTTTCTACACTACTTACTTCCACGAGTATGCAGGGCAAGAGCATGTTCATTGGCCCTTTGATCACGTTATTAGTCTGAGCGGGGACGATGGTGGGGGGACATCCTCTTCATCCATGCATCGAACCGAACGCCTTGTCCCATCTTGCCCTTCAGCCTTGCCCTCGAGGGACTCAGCTGCAGACTCTGTCTGCACGTAGCCTTCATCCTGCCCAACGTAGCCGTGTCAAAGCTTGAAAATATGACACAACATGAGAAGACTTCGGAAAACCATTGGAACATCCCAAAGATTCCGTTAACACATATACAGCACATGCTTTCCTTGCATTTCGGAAAGAAACCTATACAGTGAGACCAACTGCGACATGTGTACAGGTTTGACTGATGCTTTGCCATTTGCCAGTAGGTTTGGAATTATACTTATACCGTGAATCATACGTGATTCCTTTTTTTATGTACAATGGGCTCCAAGGCTTTGGGGGCAGGGATTGCTAGCACTGCACAGAAACTTGACTGGCGTGACGTCGTCAGAACCAAGCTAGTCCTGCAAATCTAAACCCGTTTTGACTATTCTCAACCTGCCATATGCAAAAATCCTGTGCAGATCTGTGCCACCAATGTGCTCTACTAGATAATCCGCACTATGTTGTTTAGATGTGTGTTCAGAACACCCTTGGCAGTCTCTGCGGTTTGACTATGCCAGCCAGAATCCGAATCATACAAGCCAAAGCACGATTGTTGACTTGAGCTTCCTTGCCTATCTGCTGAATGCAACCTCTGAATCAATTGCTACTGTAGAAAGAAACCAAACTAATGTCATTTGAGCTCACATGAATACAGCCCGCTGCGTGGACTGTAAGGCTCAACAACCATGATGGCAAAGAATACATTGAATGGCCACCCTAAGTCATGAAAACCATGGAAACGAGTGATGATGATGATGATGATGACGATGATGATGATGATGATGATGCAGGATGCAGGATGCATACATCTACCCCATGGTGAGATGTGTTGAGAAGAGACCAATTCTTCATCCTAATACTCGGTAGCCTCTGCGTTGTCTCTCAAACTGGAAGCCCTTTAAACAACACCTGTGCAATGCTTGATCATCTTCGATGGAGTGTCGTACCCTGTTGAAGAAGCGAAACATCACATTACGGAGCTACAAAGGACGGCCCAGAGTCGTGTCCAAACAGTGAGCTCATGTTCATCAGGAACATGGCATCTTTAATCCTGGCGTGATCCCCTTTTTTCTGGACTGTTAGGGGGGTGAACATCCCTATAACAGTAATGATTTAATCCAAATAACAATCGGCAAAAATGACAAAGATGTGTCCAAAGCCTTGCATGGGTTCCTCTTACCGAAACACCACCGAGATGAATGCAGCAAAAGCCGGTCTTCTCTTCCAACACCAAGGCCTCGTTCTCCAACGGCTGATTGCTATCTTCCTCCTCCTAGCTCAAACAAGCAGGAAACCCAGTCTCGAGCACATGACAATTCAACATTTTTCACATTGACATGTCGGTCGCCTTGAGTGCCCTCGTTTTGGCTTCAACCACGGCAACTACGTGTTGGTCTTGGTTTCTGCCCCGGATCTGGCGACAGCATCGAAAGAGAATCGGGGATACCTTACACAGGAGTTTTTAAAGGTTTGCCGCAGCAAGTCAAATCATGAACGATGTTGTCATATTTAATATGTCGTCAAACCACCAGGGTCTGCAGATATATGTATATATATAACACATTAGAAACAACTGAAGATGTTGCTCTCAAAGTCCTGCCCAACTGATCAATACAAAAATGAACAATGAATTTATACACTGTGTATTCCAAGGTCCGTACCTTTTCCAAATACATCAAAAAGGAGAACAACAACCCCCTGTACCAAAAAATGTCCAATGCCAATGACACATCCTGAACGAATCCCTGGGTTGTTGAAAAATAATTCCACAAATGCTTCCGTTTTCTCCTCTGTCAGCACCGGTTCATCCGAATTCAGCGGCTTCACCTGGCGCGCAGTTCGCTCATCACCGGCAAATTCGCGGATGATATCCCAAAAATTTGCCAAGAAACAAGTCTGAGTAAACACACTTGAATTTCAGTTTGATTTTTACACAATACACAATGCTTCATATGGTTGTCGGAAACAGGAAACCATTGATAGTTAACAACATTTTACAAACGTGTTGCTCAAATCCGCCGGCCCTTGGGCGCCGGCGTGTTTTATCAATGTGGCTTGTATGTGGCTTAAGTTATGTTGAATCTATATGTAACAAGAAAAGTGTCTCTGGAGCAAGTTTTTGCCTCGTCTAACTTGACCCCCCCCTCACCCCCCCTCCCCCCCAAGAACATCCCGAATGTATGTAGCTCACATATATCATAGCTAAAGTGAAAGGTTGTGTGCGCTTCCTTCTTATCGTCGTTCTTCTCTTGTCGTTGTCCATGCATTGCGCTGCTTCTTTGCATGCGTTTACTCTCTTGTATCATGTCTGACGGAATGCTATGTACGTTTGCTGCTTCGCACGGTCTGCTTCGCTCATTGTGTCACCTGTCATGTAATTTGTCTTCTTGCTTGGCAGGCTATACTTTTGCATCCCCCAATTTCATCTCCCTGTTCTCTTGTTGTATCATAATGCACGTCATTTCATGTAGGCTCCTCTGTTGCTCCAGCAGTGTTCTGGATGATGCTGTTACTTTTTCTGCTCTGTTGCAGTCTTTCCTCTTGACGCAAAAGGTAATCCGCATCTTGGGACCATTGGCTGAAGAGGCCGGCGGAACAACCCGCAGGGTGTAAATAAAAAAACCAAACCAAACCAAACATCCCCCTTACTCAATTTGTCCACCCAGAGTTTTTATGTTATAAGGAGTAGGCGTTTATTGAATGAACATTGAATGAACAACCAAATCACTTTCATTACAAAATGAAGAACCAGGTGCTTCCACAAAATGAAGAACCATGTTCCAACTGAATGTTGCAACCCTAGGTCCCTAACAAGTGTGTGTTTTTATCCAATGACAGAACCATAAGCAAAGAGCGATTTATTGGGTGACGGAACCAGGTTCCAATGATCCTGGCTTGAGCTGTCCTTAATTGATGGCCCAGCACTTGGTGATCATTATGTAAATACGTTATCTGCACTCATCCTGGAACCAGATGTTTTTTGAACAAATCATTTCATAGAATAGGGGTTGTGGAGCGTTGTAGACACTGATTACATTTATTGTTAAAGGTTTGCTCTTCTCTGATTAGTTCTAGTTAGAAGTGAAATCTCAGGATTCTTTGCCGTAAATCTTTGGACATCTTTGAGCCTGTGCTGCATTTTGAACGTTATCTATGAAATGCATAGAGAATTCAGCATGACATGCACTTGTGAAATGAACAACACTACATCTCATTGATTGCCACTATGAAATGATGTTTTCATGTGTTTTCTCTCCATCCCATGACACTATTTATAACATGTGTTTAAATAAAACGAGGGTACCACCTCCCAACATATCTTTTCGACAATGAAAGGACCAGGTTCAGAAGGTCACACCTTGTTCGAGCTCTTCTGACACATGTGATTTTCCATCAACTGACCCTGTATGTGGGTACCAACATGAAATCCACAATAGCCAATACAAGCCACTGAGTAAGGGGGATAACCAAACCTGACAAAGAAACTTGACATACCCACTAACAGCCTTGGAACTGTTCCAACAGCATCCTATAGCTGGCTAACCCAGAAACCGTTGCACGCCATTCCTTAGTTTGTCCTTCCTTGTGGGAAATTTGGAATGTCCCGAAATCATCGCAGGTCTTGCATGGGTTTGCCGCGCGTCCTGGGGCTCACATGTCCGAGTGTTGGGGAACATCCCACAACAATTCTAATACTACAGTGTCATGGGACGGAAACGCCCAAAAAGGCAGGAACCCAGCAGCAGCCAGCCCAGCAGCTGAACAGCAGCACATCGGCAGCATATCAAGAGCAGAACAGCAGCAAGCCAGTAGCTCAGCAGCACACCAGCAGCAGCACGGCGGCAGCCCAGCAGCAGAACAGCAGGTGAGCACATCAGCAGCAGAACAACACAAGCAGAACAGACTCGGCCAAAGTCTACAAGGCATTGCCCGAAGCGACCTGACCCCTGAGCATGCTTCCAGAAAACAAGCGGAACTATAGTACGCAAGCAATCCAGCAGCACAATGGCAGCAAACCAGCAGCAGCAGCAGCTTGCCAAATAGAATGTCAGAAAAGATGTCAGAAGAAAGGCCAGAAAGAACGTCAGAAAAGATGTCAGAAGATATGCCAGAAAGAATGTCAGAAGATATGCCCACAATGAATGTCAGGAGAGAAGCCAGAAAGAATGTCAAAAGATATGCCAGAAAAAGTCAGAATATATGCCAGACAGAGTGTCAGAAAAGCATGTCAGAAGATATGCCAGAAAGAATGTCAGAGGACATGGGAGAACGAATGCCAGAATGAATGTCAGAACTGAT